TTATGACCCTGGCTATCTTCTTGCATTTCTTTAATGTAATCATCATTGTCTAGAGCTGCAGTAATGCGTGCCGTATGTAACAGAGACTTAAATTTGTGTGGATGAAATAAACCTGTAAAGGCAGGTTGATCTTGAATTACGCCCTCATCATCTGATAAATCAGAATGGTGATCCATCTCCAAAGCAAAGGATTCACTAGCCCTTGAAGCAGTAGGGGAATGAGAGCCAGTAAGACTAACTGCAGGAGATACTCTAGCATGACTGGAATGCTCAGAAATTATTGATCCAGAATGATGCCTTTTATAGGCATCCTCCACTCGAGAAGCAATGGCCCTTTCAATTAAAACCTGTAAGTTTTCTGGCAGATTTTTAAAAGGGTCCTCTGGGATCTGATCTTGCAAGGGAAACTCCCTTGCAGCCTGAGCTGGTGTCACATTTCTGCTAGGAGCAGGAGAAGCCGGAGAAATTATTTGACTTGCAAATGGATTTTGCAGAGTGCCTTGTTCTTCTTGAATAAGAACCCCTCCCTCACCTTCTGAAGACCAAGCTTGGTGAACTTCAACAATAGGAAGGGGGGGAGTAGCGGGGGGAGGAGAGGTTTCCTTACTGGGCACATGAACAATAGCTTTTGAAATTTGCTTCTCTAAAGCCTTATGCCTCCGTTGCAAGTCTTTTTCCTCTGTTTTAGAAGAGTGCTTGCGCTTGCAATCTGCTTTTTTTCCCCCTGAGGCATGGTATTTCCCTCCCCGTGGGAAGAACGCTCTGCCATTGCAATAGTATACTCACTGCGACCAAGATGTCGACTGTAAAGATTTAGTTTCACTTTCGCCACGTGGTAAGGTAAACAAAAGCAGAGGATCTGGCGTTAGCTCACTGGCTGCCAAGTAACACGTGAGCAGAAGAAACTTGCTCTAGAGGTGACTGTCCAGGAAACCTAGAAACAGCCCCTATAAAGCGCCTTTACAGCCACAAAAAAACCCCGGCTGTAATATTGCCACGTGGAGAGTGTAAGGAAATCTTACAGCTCTCCTGTATAAGCTCCGTTGGTGGTATAGGAGGATCGCTGGCTAAAAAAGGGTTAAAAAGCCTCCTATTGACTTGTTGGTGGCAAAGCGGCAATTATCACCTTTCCAAAGTGCTGCGACGCTTCAAAGGACCGCCCTACAGCTGTTCTGCGGTCCCGGGAGCTGAGGGCGGGGGCGGCGGCTGATTTTAGCGATTCTGGGGTTTGTCCCAGAATATCGCTACAAACGGTGGTGGTACAAAGGTTTAAGCCCCCTGCGCTGTCGTTGGTGGTATAGATTTAAAAAAAACCCACCAAAGGGGAAAAAAAATTAAAAAGACACGCGAAGAGGCTTCCAAAATGGCCGCCGCCTGGAGCTATTGAAAAGCCTGATAGAACAGACTGCTCCAATAAGAGGTATACCGGTAGGCTATTAAATACAAAATAAAACTAAAAATATTTCTTAACTAGCCTAGTAGACCGGAACTTCTGGAAAATTACAAGAAAAAATTAAATAGGAAAATAAATGAAAGAAATAAGAAAATAAAAGGTCAAAAAAACTTACAATTTAAATGCAATCGAACAGATCTGGGCTGAGAGCCAGATCTGTAGGAGATGTTATTCTCAGGCCGACTGAGCCTAAACTGGGCCCCAAAGGGAGGAGCAAGGGGCGTGGTCAAAAAAACTATGGCTCAGCCAGCAACAGATCCGACTGAAGCAGCCCACATCTGGACGATGACACAACTGGATCAAGGAAATCATAAATTACTGGGATCAAATTATCTAATTTTAGATATATTATGCAAAGACCTGGAGAAGGCTATAATATTGGGCAAGGTGGAAGGAAAGAGAAGAAGATAAGCAGCAGAGTGGACAGATTCAGTTACAGTGCTTTTGGAAAACCTGAAGGAGCAGGTTACAGACAGATTGTCATTTGGAGAATATATTTATGTGGTTCAGAGTCAACGCTGATTTGATTGTACATAATCAATTAAAATTTATAGTTAAAGCTATCGTTAAAACTATGGTATAGCATGACATGTGAACAGAATCTCTAACTTTTTATGGCATTTAGTATCATAACTAAGATTTCCTCTTAGTTGGAAAAAGTAGCACTTCTTTCAATTTCTAATGCTATCTTGTGAATTTGACTCTCTCTCTCTTTTTTTTTTTGCACCAAGTATTTCTTGCTAGAATTGTTTAAAGTGTTGATCATATTTAAGTTGCTGAAGTTCCTTAGAGTATTTCAAACCCTAAACAGTCCAACTCATTTCATTTCCTACTGCCAAAGGCTAGTTCTTAATTAAAGTAAAATCCTCTTAGGCGTATTTGAAAATTTAAGAGCCCTCTCACTGGTCTACATGGCCCAATTAAACCTCCTCCTGTACTGCCTGCTATTTTGCTTTTTTCCCCCTCAGGTATAGCTAAAGGAGACATATACTAGTAAAACTATATAATTATTCTATTGATTCTCTAGAAATGATAGTGAGATGGTGCTATAGGAAATATTCAAGAGCCCTCATCAAAAATAGATTACATGTTTATACTAACCAATTGGTTTATACTAACCAATTAGAGCCATCAAAGTTCTACTGCCAGGCTGTACTTAATGAATGCTTACAACAAAGGTTTAGTCTATGTATACTAGCTAATTGGGAGGAGGGGAGCGCTAAAAATAATTTCTCAGGAAATGAGAAAAGTGAAAATTGTCTGGATTATAGTTTTAAAAACTTACATTAATGATGCTGACCAATTTATTTTTACATATTTTTTGTAGATCGTGTCTACCTCATTAGACAAATAGTCTGAAAACCAAAAACTCACATAATGGATATTTCAAATAAGAAAGCCTTATATTACTTACGATTACTGTCTACTAAGTTCTGGTCTCTTTCCCTTATTGTTCTACCATTGTATACCTATAAAATCCTTTTCACAGTACTTTCCATTTATCTGATAAAATGGACACAATCCACAATCCAGGAAATTTGTATCTAAATCCAAAGGTGCAGAAAGCTATGACAACTTCCTTTGAAAACATTAATAAAGCTGTAATGTTTGCTTTTCTTATAGGATTTGTAGCTCGTTACTTTATGATGTATCAAGCTACAATTAGGATCTTCTTGGTTCAATTCTCTCCACAGTAATAGTAGTCCTCATTTAGCAATCTGAGCTGGACCAGCAAAGAGTCATTAAGCAAAGTGGTCACTAGGTGAAACCATGACTGTGCTTATGATCTTACTTTAGCTTTTCTTTGTTTTATAGACCTGCTAGGTTTGTAAATGCAAAGATTAGTTGTAAAGTTATTTTTTCATCACCATCATAACTGCTACTGTAGTAGCTGCTAAAGTTGCTAAAAAGGACTTAAAATATATATCGGTATATACATATGGATTAAAAATGATACTCTTTTACATAACTGAGAAATTATGCAAGTTATAGAAACTTCAAATAGATATAAACATATAATGAGATAAATTGAAATTGACACATAAGTAAAATCTGGGTGGAATTATATAATGTCATGTTATATATTTATTCAATTTATCTCCACCCTTCCTATTCAATTCCATAGTCCAGGTAATTAATTATCCCAAGGGGCCATATGAGAAACTGGGATTGTTGTGGATCCTGCCCCCACCGCTGCTGACACCCCACTCTTGCCTCTCATAATGCCCTGCCCCCCACTAGCGCCACCTGCTGCCACGGGCTGGACTGAGACAAACTGGAGGCTGAATGTGGTCTGTGGGCACTAAAATGCCCAGGTCTGCCATAGTCACAGAAATCACTCTATGAGTAGAAAGAGGGAGCATGAATTCATAGAATAATATACACTTTTTTTAAAAAAAGTATAAATATGATTTTAAGATGTGAGGCATTATTAGAGTACACTGTAGCAGGATTATCAAAAACAAATATTGATGGAAAGAGCCAATTAATAAGCAATAAAGTACTGGAAAACAGAGGAAAATAACCCACACTACTGTTTTTCCTAGTAGTGTAATATCTTCCTCACTAATGTAGCACATGACACACCCACCAGCTATTCAAATGGGGCTCTTCATTCCTCTATAGTACAGTATTTCCATTTTTGCCCCAAATATTTTTATGTTCACTTTCATTACTGAAGTTTCTCTTCGATAACAAACTGCATGTTTTCTAAAACTAGCAACAACAAAAACAGTCTAAATGAAATTTACTAGAAAAAGATTTCACACCAAGCAACGTACATCGTTAATATTTCAAAACAGTACAATACAAACAGTAGTATGACATTCCATTTCTTCTGCCATTGCAGAGTTACAGGTAGCCTATATACTCACCCTATAAATTTAGGGCAAATTATAAAACAAACAAGTCCAACTATCTTCCTCATAATTAGAGCACTATAATTAGTTGTGGCACTAAACTGTTTACTAGCATGGCACCAATAAAATCAAATGCTTTCACTTTTGACTAACCACTTTAACATTGCCTCTTAATCACTGGCTAATTCACTGGCTACAGTTCATGGAGGCAAATCATCTTTGTAAACTATCATTTGGTTGATGTGTTGCAAATTAAAACTTAAGGACTTTGGAGAATGAAGCAAGTTAAAAATTACTCTAAAACAGAAGTAAATTCTTTTAATTGTCTTCTCATGGCCATGCCAATTGTGCACGATAGTCCTTGTAGGTGGGAAGCCTTTATGATAAACTGTGATTATGATGCCTCAAAGCAGCCAGAAGCTATTACAGAATCATTTAAAATCTAACACATTTTAGTGGCTTGAAAATAGTAGGTCACGTAATAGATTAGGACCTATCAGATGGTTCTATTTATTTTTGATCTATGCAAATATTCAGCATGATTTTTACAGCTGCAGATAGTGAAGAAACTAGACAGAGAAAATTAATGTGAAGCTGTCTATCTGTATAAAAGAAGCAGCAGCTTGAAATGCATTTGAGAAACTATATTGCTACTGAACGTGGGTATTTATAAGCATGCCAGTACTTACAAATGCCAGCGCTTGCATTATTGCAGATTTCTCCAGCCTCTTGCCTCCCAGATCTGCTGGACATGAAGAATTCTCAAGCTAGCATGGCAAAATGAAACAAATGCATCATCAGTATGTCAGAAGAGAAGTGTTTCCACTCTAGTCACTATCCCCCTAGGAATCCATTCCAGAAATGACAATTTCCCTTTAAAGAGCAAAATCAGCTTGAGATCTATAATTGAAAATCTATAATTAAAGGTGGACATTTTAAAAAGCCCAAGTTTTTCTATTCAGTACTGTAGTCTATGTCCTTTGAGTGACCCCAAAACAAAAGAACTGCTGCTCTTCCAGTTCCCATTCACTTCCTCCCCCCGCAACCTTTCAAAGGATTATGAGGACAAGTCTTTGTAACACCTTGGGAATAGAAAAATCTCTTTATTGGCCAGTCTGATATTCTCAGGCGTCTTGTAAACATCTCCTTGTTTTCCTTTTAAAATCAGACATGCTGGTGAAGTACATCAGAATGCTTATATGTAGGTGTACACATACACACACACAAGCCCTTTTAAATGTTTCCAGCTCAACCACAGCACCCTGCTAAGAAGCCAGCCATGGCACGGAATAAATGACTATTTCTCTTAGAAGTCAGCCTTTAGAACTACTAGTGTTCAAAGTCACAGTTCCAGCAATGATGTAGATCTCCTTTAGCCCTTGCAAGCACAATGGACACTGCATTTACATGAGTATAGAAAAACCAGTTTCTCCTATACAAATAACTCTACCTCTTTTTTGAAATTATTTGTCCAGGCATCTGTTAGAGGACAAGGGCAGCTTTGTGCAAGTGTCCCTTCAACCAAAGGCAGTTACCTGTATCCACAGCAACCATGAAATTCACAGAACTTTTATTTCGGCAGAAGCCAAAGGCCAGGCAAACATTCATTTAATACATCTGAAAATGCAGCGGGGATATTTTGTTTTATTTCACTGGGAAACAAGTATGTCTGCTAGACATTTCAGGAAAAAAAATATTACTACTTTCCAGACCAGGAAAAAAAATAATTGGCAGTTTTTTCTAATTTCCATTTTAGTCACAGAAAGTAACCACTAAGTAACCATTTGAAGCCTTAAACACCTTTATTGCACACAGTAATCACATCAGCAGTAATGGCATATACTAGATAGAGGAATCTTTTTACTTTCCTAGCAAAAATATTGTGATGTTTAAACATAAGAAAGATGTATATTATCAAACTCCAGAACAAGAGACACCCGAAACTTTCATAGTAAATAAATGTCCAGAAGAAATTATAAAGTTATAAGAGCATGGCATTTATACTACTTGCTGAAAAGAAAAAGATGAAAATGAAATAAAGAAAGTTATCATGAATGACCCTTAGCCCCAAAATGATAAAATTAAGCTGTTACAATAATACTTTATAGTTTTAGTTCAGAGGTCCTCAACTCCCAGTCCGCAGCCTGTTGGGAACCAGGCCACGCATGCGGCAGGTAAGTGTGTGAAGCTCCATTAGTGCAAGCGAAAGGCACGCACATGAAACCATCCCCTCCCACACATACACACTGCCAGTCCACAGAGCAGGAAAGGTTGGGGACCTTATTTTAGCTTATACAGGTAGTGCTTGACTTATAACCGTTAGTTTAGCAACCATTCACATTTACAACAGCACTGAAACATGTGACAACCAGTCCTCAACCTTATGACTGCTGCAGCATCCCTGCAGTCATGTGATCAGAATTTGGGTGCTTGATAACCAGCATGTATTTACAATAGTTGCCGCATCCCAGGATCATGTGACCGCCATCTGTGGTCCTGCCAGTTTCTGACAAGCAAAGTCAACGGGGGAAGTGAGATTCACTTAAACAACCACACAATTCATTTAACAACTGCAGTGATTTACTTAACAACTATGGCAAAAAAATACTGTATAATCAGGTGCAACTCATTTAATAACTGCCTTGTTTAACAACAGAAATTCTGGTCTCAACTGTGGTCATACATTGAGACCTAACTACCAGCCCTCAAACTCTAGGGTAAAAGAAAAAAAAAAATAATGCAGACAGTCTTCGACTTAAAACCATTCGCTTAGTGGCTATTCAAAGTTACAATGGCACTAAAAACAGTGAATTATGACCCTTTTCACACTTAGGATCATTGTAGCATCCCCATGGTCACATGATCCAAATTCAGATGCTTGGCCACCAGTTCATATTTATGACGGTTGCAGTGTGTCTTGGGGGTCATGTGATCAGCTTTTGTGACCTTCTGACAAGCAAAGTCAATGGAGAAGTTAGATTCACTTAACAACCATGTTACTAACTTAACAACTGCAGCAGTGGTGGGTTCCACTTACCTTCGCTACTGGTTCGCAACTGTGACCACGCTTCTGTGCGCAGACTGTCCGTGATGACATCTGGTGGGGTAGGCGGAGCCTCCCGCTGCCGCTACTAGTTCGTGGGAACTGGGGCGGACCAGTAGAAACCCACCACTGAATTGCAGTGATTCACTTAACAACTGGCCAAGAAAGGTTGTAAAATGGGGCAAAATACACTTAACCAATGTTTCACTACCTTTTTGAGGCTTTAGGCAACTGGAGGCTCAATTGTGGTCATAAGCCAAAGACTTCCTGCATTTAAACCTTAGATATCCTAGTTTACTTATTGTTTATATTTTTCCATCAGTCCATGTAGGGTTATATTAGCAACACTGATATCCCTGACTCCAAGGAGCTTCTAGTCCAAAATAGACAGTGGTGAAGCAGCAGTGGGAGTGAAGGACAGAGAAGGTTGGACGGACAACAGCCTTTGCTGCTGTTTGTAAGTGTGCTTTCATTAGCAATAACAACTACAATGTCCCAACTGGCTCTGAATTATGCACGTGTCATTTTACTGCTGAATGTATCTTGTTTTAAAATAAGAGACCAGAATATTCTTCTGACCAAAACAAAGAAGCCTCTAATGAGTCTTGGGAAGAAAAAAAAAAGAATTGTCTGTCTCAATATTGTGGCCCTTTGATATTTGTCCACAGTTTCCCAGACATACAGTATTTTATGTGACATAGCTCGTAGAAAGATGTCTGCTCATGAGATCCCAGAAGTATCTTTTAGTTCAGAAAGCATTCTGGAGGCAGAAAACTAAAACCTGTTCAAATATACTTTTTTAAAGAAAATATCCTTTGAATGGTTCTTCCTAAATATAACTTATGGTCTTGATCATTGTAACACTTACCGTATTTCCCCAAACCATCTGAGAGGATTTAATCAAAAACACATTAGTTGTTAATATTAATTAGCTATTAACTAAGAAACTTGCCCCGATGATTCTCCCTTCCATCAGTACTCTTGGCCCTGAGATGTTCTCGGAAGACCTCTCCACAAGCCATTTTGGCTGGGATAGATAGGAGCTGAAGGTCAGTGCACCAGCTTGCATCCTTTCCCATACAAAATTTCAACAAATGATTCAAGACACAGCAGATGGCAATTCATCTTTATGCATCTTTATGCACTTCCACAAAGTTGAAAACTGTTAAATTTGAGTTAAAAACAGCCAAATACCAATAGCCACCAGAACCAAGCAAAAATCTTTGACAGTCCTTGTATAGAATTTTTCAAAGGATGATAATGGTTGTTTATTAGATGCCCAATAAAACCTTCCATGTTGAGGCCAGGAAATGCTGAGATATCTAAGGTTATATAATCTAGGTTTTCTTTTCTTATCACTATTTTTGCTGAGTCACAGATCTCGTTTGTAAAGTATTTAGACAAACACATTTACAAACACAGAAACATTTACAATTTTGAATGTATTTAAGGAAGAGTTTTAAGATAGTAAACCAGTCATTTGGTTTTATTGATTTTTAAAATGTAATTAAAATAAACAGATAATAGCAATAGCAGTTAGACTTATATACCGCTTCATAATGCTTTACAGCCCTCTCTAAGCAGTTTACAAAGTCAGCATATTGCCCCCTACAATCTGGGTCCTCATTTTACCCACCTTGGAGGGATGGAAGGCTGAGTCAACCTTGACTCATTATACTAACTAATATATAAGAAATTCAGAATACGGAACCAGAGTTCCCTATATTTCAAACTGATTGGTCTTCATGGTTTTTTTAAAAATTAGATATATTTCTTATAATCACACAGCAATAATCAATTCTTCAAAAAAATTGTGTGTGGTTTATCAGATTAATCAATGAATATTTTTGAAAGGTTGGTTGTTGACCTTCTAAGTTGGAGAATCAACTGTGGCCTGGCTGCAAGTCTTCTTTGATTTGAGAGCAAATCTGTCAATTACTGAATGTAATCCTCTCTCTTATCTTCCCGTAAGATCATCAAGATCCAAAGAAAGAATTATTGTGGATGCTGGGGGCAACCTCTCCATTATAAGCAACCAATCCTGGGGGTAAGGGGGAAGCTGTCACAGTGCTACAATTCATTATATGTCACAAGCCTAAAGAAACAGACTGCTACCAAAGTATGCCCAAATTTGGAACTGAGTAGTTTCAGGCCCATCCATCCCAGATAGATAAAAATCAGTCTGAATTAAAGTCAACAGAAAGATCCACTCAACAGATACATAGTTGCTTGAGAGAATTGAATATTATGCATTAACAGCTTTGTGAATTTTGGGTTATGTGTAGAGTCCAAAAACAGAATTCAAAATCTTACTTTTAGACAGTTTGCTGTTTTCAAGTTCTTTATATTCTTTTGACAAAAGCACTTTAAATTTATTGGTAATTATTTTACCAATGTGTTTTGTCATCATTTGTTCACTATAATGTCTAACGAAGCAATTTATTCTCATCCTACACATCTTTCTTGCAAGCTTACTGACAATATCCTTTGGCAACTGACAATACTACTACTTCATCTGAAATGCTCTTGTAAGTTAATTTTAGTGTGTGGTTGCTAACAACTCTGTTAAATAATAAAAAGTTTTATTCAATATATAATATAAGGAACCAGAAAACCTGTACCATAGATATTTGTGTTGTCTTCAAGTTATGAATGATTCTGTTAACCTAAATCAGGGGTGTCAAATTCTATTTCATTGAGGGCCGCATCAGGGTTGTGTCTGAC